TTGCTTCAAATTGAATTTTCTTAATTACTTTTCGTAATTTAAGTCTTCAAACTTTTGGCAAATATTAATGATTTATTTATGAATAATTGATTTGTACAAAAAAACTTTGTAACTTATATTTCTTAAAATTCAAGATATGACTAATATTTTTTATAATATTATATATATATATATATATATATATTATATATATATATATATATATATATATATATAGGGCTAGGTTAATGTGTTTCTTACATTTATTGTGTGCTACAATGCACCAATAAAAATTTAGTAAAATTAAATAATTATTTAATTAAATAAAGATAAATATTAAATGATTTCCATAATTGTATGTGTATTAAATGATATCCATAGATATAATTCTCTTTTTATGGAAACTAATTAAATTCGTTATTAATGTTAGCAATAACATTCTTTCAGAATGAATTCACAACTAGTTTTTTTATGTATGGGTTCGTTTTTTGTTTCAGTACTCACTCACTTAGATAAAATAAAGTTGCATGAAATATGAAGAACGAAAGTGTATTCTACCAGAATATACTCTGATTTTGCTAGAATACACTCTCATTTTTCTAGATACGAAGTCATTCTGAAAGAATATTATTGTTGACATTAATAACAAATTTAATTAGTTTTCATAAAAAAGAATTATAAGTATGGATATCATTTAATATATATATAATTTTTACTAAGTTCTTATTGGTGCATTCTAGCACACAATAAATGTGATAAACATTTGAACCTACCTCTCTCTCTCTCTCTCTCTCTCTCTCTATATATATATATATATATATATATATATATATATATATATATATACACGATGAGTTATTGTGAGAACCAAAAGATTTGCAAGCATTTGAGAACTCCTAATACGCTCATCATTTATCAAAACCGAAAACACTAATCTTCTCCAAATGGTGCGTCTAAGTCATATTTAGGCTCAAAAAATTTACAATTATTTATTTATTTATTTTGTAAATTTGCATGTATGCACAATTAGCAGTTATATGGACTGCAGACATGTACAATCAACAATCATAACAGTTTATTGTGCTCATTCGCAGTCCATATGACTGTTGATTGTGCTCATCAACAATCCATATGACTGCTGATTGTGCATATCCGCAGTCTATATATTGCTGATTGTGCATAAATCCACATTTCCAAAAAAAGCCAAAAATAAAATAAATAATCCACTGATCTATCATAATCGCTGGTCTAGAAGTCCGTTGGTGGTTTTGATGTTGAAAAATGATAGAACAAATTAGGAGTTTTCAAATTCTGACAATCTTTTGGTTCATTGCATAATTAGTGCCAAATGTTGGAAGGTTTTATGGTATTAATCGTCGTTGGTATATGTCATGTTTATTGAAGAGGCATTTCATACCACATAATTGTCGAATATAACTTTATAATTTTAACTTCAAACAGCACACTCCAACGTCTAACATAAATAACCATAAAAAAAATACATTGAAACAATCAACACAATTTCATATAAAATAACACGTCACTTGTGTAACACACATAAACAATTACCCTCACCAATATCCGAAGCAACACAAGGCGAATGAAGCTTCCCATTTTCATACCAAATCGCACGTTTCTCAATAAGCTCATCAACAAAATCATCCAATTTATCAATCGTTATATTCGGCATCACCACAACATGAGCAATGTTTCCTTGGCATGCAAGCTGCCATTTGTGTGTAAAATCCTCATCTTTGTTGGTGATTTTAGTGTCACCAGGTCATTTTAAGTAACTGGAACTAACATGTGAGCTAAGGGGCTTCATGATTTGTACTCTAATATATATACGGGGTTGTGCGGAGTGCACGCATGTATAAGATCGAGTCAGAAGCCGGTTCGACGACTAGTCGGGGATGCGGGGGCAGCGCCCCCGGGTCCGGGGTTTCCAAAGGGGCAGCGCCCCTTTGGCAGGGTCTAAGGGCAGCGCCCCTAGCGGGGTCCAAGGGGCAGAGCCATTTCTTGGGCTTCCAAGAAGCAATCTTACATTACAAACTCGACAATGGAATCTGAGTTTGTTGCGTTAGCAGCTGCTGGTAAAGAAGCAGATGTTGGATTAGATGTCTAAGCCCATAACTATTATTGGTATGTACTTGACCCGAGAGTAGCATGGTCCATTTGGGTTGCATATCATCAGGACAATTTGTTAGGATGGACTTTTGAGAGAAGGTTATTTATGGTTTATTAATATATTATAAGTTATAATATATTAATATGAAATCATACGTTTTAATTAGTATCGATCAAGAATTAATTTGGAATTAATTTAGTGATCAAAAGAGACTAATTAAATCTATGGGGACTAATTATGATAATTAGTTATATTTATATGTGTTGGGCTTATGATCCATGTTGGACCAAGTTTATGTATGGATACATAAAGAGTTGGGCCACATGAACCATGGATCATAAAACCCATGGGTATGGATTATGGATTATACCCATGACCCTTGGAATCCTACATATAAATAGGTTACTCCATAGCCAAAATCACCACTTCTTTTCTTAGAGAAATATAGAGGTGTTTTGGTGCATGAAATTCTCTCTCAAGAGCCACCTTTGTCCTAGGTGTGTTGTGATTCCATTTGAGGCATTTCATACTATTGGTGCTAAGCTCTTAAGGCCAAATACATCAAGACTTCAAGCCACATAAAAGGTATGTTTCCCTAACTAGTATATTATATGGTTTATGTCAAATGCATGCTAGTTATAGGTTTAATGCCTTGGAAACCATTTGCATGTATAATAGAGAAAACATAGATCCAAGGTATTTAGGGTTGTATGTGCACCATAGGATGTTGTACTATACTAAAACTCAACAGCAGAGTGGCTAAGGAATTTGGTCTATGAGATTCCTTTGTGGTCTAAACCGATAGCACCTATTTCTATCCTTTGTGATAGTGCTGCCGCTTTGGCTAAGGCATATAGCCAGGTTTATAATGGCAAGTCTAGACACCTAGGTGTTAGACATAGTATGATTAGAGAACTAATCATGAATGGTGTGATTTCGGTTGAGTTTGTGAAATCGCAACAAAATTTGGCAGATCACTTGACTAAAGGTCTGACAAGAGACTTAGTGCACAAGTCTGTAATCGGGATGGGATTAAAGTCCATTTCATTCTATAATGATGAGACACCCAATTCCCTCCTAATATAATGTTAAGAGTTGAATTCAATGTGGAAAGCTCATACTTATAGATTGGAACACATGAAGTATTCATCCCAGGTATGTGTTCGGTTCTGCAAGTTAGCCAGGTTGAAGTTTAACTTCTTAATAATTCCTTTGATAAATGTATGTGCAGATACATGGAAAGGAGTTACCTACGTGATTGTGAAGTGTAGCCGCATTTCAAGAGGTTGTGGACTTGACCTTGATACGATCATGAGAGGATTGGGACACACAGCTTTATAATAGTGTCAAGTTGTATTATGCTAGAAATTCAATAAACTAGTATGTATTTTACTTTCTGGTATTCAAATGGGTTGATGGGTTCAATTCTTAGAACACCCTGATTCTCGAGTATTTGCAAGTGTATGATACTAAGTGGAAATTCAATCGTTTCGATATTTTCATTATGTACTACTTTGGTTTGTTGTTGATAAGGTTATGTTTGTTCAAGGGTTACACTAAAATGGGGGAGGATTGTTGGTGATTTTAGTGTCACCAGGTCATTTTAAGTAACTGGAACTAACATTTGGGTTAAGGGGCGTCATGATTTGTACTCTAATATATGTACGGGGTTGTGCGGAGTGCACGCATGTATAAGATTGAGTCAGAAGTCGGTTCGACGACTAGTCGGGGGTCCGGGGGCAGCGCCCCCGGGTCCGGGGTTTCCAAAGGGGCAGCGCCCCTTTGGCGGGGTCTAGGGGCAGCGCCCCTAGCGAGGTCCAAGGGGCAGCGCCCCCAAACTTCACGAATTTTGCATGTGGGAACATAATGGAAAACTCAATTTCTTGAGGGTGATTATGGTAAAACTAACGAAACTCGTTAGTTTTGGTAACCCTAATCCGGATTAATATTACTTGCTTCCAAAGCAACTAATGACGGCCCAACCCTAATGAAACCCTAATCGCGTTTAATATATAAACAACTCTTCCTTTCCATAAGAAAAGGACGTTCTTTCGCTCTCGTTTTTCATCACACATTCACAGAACCCTTTAACATATTGGCTTACGTTTTCTGTGCCTAGAAACGTAAGTGTCCACTTGGATTATCCTAGGCTGAATTTCTTGTAACCCAGGCATAGGGTAGAAATATCAGTTCGGAAAGTGATATCACAATCCAAGTCGGTATCCAGATCTCCACCACAAACCCTAAATTTCCCAAAAATCTTGTGGGCGTTCAAAGACCACTGTGCTACTAAGCTCATTGAGCATGGCACTAATTCCAGCAATGGTTAGCCGGCCTTTTAAGTATTGGGCATTTCTGAGGCATTTTTGGACTTCTTTTTGGAACCCTCTGTACCCTTTTCGGTTTAAAGTGTACCAAAGGAACAATGGGGCGTGACCATTACGACTTCCCATTATTGTTGCGTCTCGTGAAGTGAGATATTCGACGTTTCTTGAAAGCGCGTTGATGTGTTCTAATCATGTTATTTGAACGCCACATGGCATTGGACACCCGACGAATTTGTGACCCGAAACACTCACGGATCCAATCGGTTTCTTGAAAGATACTTTGGTGCCTGATTGTACGAGAAAGAAAGTACAATTTATGAACTATGAAATAAGCGAGGGCAAATTTATAAATTACTTAACTACCATTTTCCTTTTTTCCATTACAGGAATGTTTCTTTAATTAGTTTTTGTCCTATTAAGTTTTATACTGATAAAATGGCTGAACGATTAATATGTGTGTTTCGATAAAGTTTTTTATTCAAAAAAATTGTTTTTTTACTCAATTAACCGAGTGAACCGTGTAGCTTGGCCCTTCATGCATACATTACGTTATAAGATTCATAGTATCACGGATTAGTTACAAGTTTAACAAAAGGCATCATTAGACCAAACAAAGCCCCATCACAGTGGATATAAAATCGGTCATGTGTAAATCCTGTTTCTTCAAGGGTCTTTATGACCAGATCAAGATCATCCACATCTCCTTTCACTGTTGTTCCTGCAAATTCGTTTGTAAAAATGTAAATAATAGGATGGACAAGCTTTTTAGGATTATTTTTTACGATAAGTATAAGGACATTCATGGGTTTTGCACTAATAAAACACATTAATTTGTACCACTGACATGTCAGTCTAATACATATCAAACGATGTATGTCATATGCTGTGTGTGAAACGATGGGGCCTAAGAGAGAACCTATATTCACGTTGATGATTGCAGGTTTGTCCTTATGAAGACCAAGTTTTGCTTTAAAATCTTCACAATCAATCTCCCCAGAAAGGAGCGTGTTGACCTTTTCACAAATCATTCGATACATTCTTGCTGCTTTGAAGATGGAATAATTCTATTCGCAAGAAGCATACAAAATCCCATCAGGAAACACTTCTCTCCTGTTACATTTTACACAATATATAAAGGTATTCAAGTAGTAAAAAATCCAAGAAATGAGATAAAATCATACAAACCCGACTAGTATGCCATGAAGATTGCCTTCTGTTCCACAATTTGTAATGTAACCCCAATATTCGTTCGTTTCCAACTCCCATAAACGAGCAAACCGGTCCAATACACCAACCTCAAACTGCCTGGAATGGACACCATAATTGCTCTCGATGAATGGGTCCCCAAGGTTGTTAATGGAGAAACGCTGCAACTGAGACAACGCACCGTAGTCGAGGTCCAGATTATACGGATATCCTATATATATATATATATATATATATATATATATATATATATATATATATATATATATATTATAAAAAAAACATCAAAGATTAACATCAAACATTGTCATATGACAAATTTCCACTAGCCCTCAAAGCCAAAACTAAAGAACTGCATGCATACATATATCACATGGATATTTCTAGACATGATAAACAATTGTGTAATAAAAAAACAAGATCATAAACATAAATTTCAGCAAATAAGACCGAAAAAGACTGTTACCCAAATGATGTTTTGTCCTTTCAAGCAAGGACTTTCGATATCTGGCCAACACACTGGCCATATAAGCTTCTCTTTCTCCGGTAACTTCATCATCATCATCAGGCTCTGTTATCTCGTGCCAACTAGTGTGCACATTCCTACCTAGAACAATTTCCCTCGGTTTCTCCTTCCCATTAACCGAAGTCCCACCGTTTACAACCTCACGTGGACGTGCATCATTAAGACTCATGATAAAAAAGCGAAAAAAAAAGAGTCTTTGTGGATAATGAAAATAAAGTATAACAAATGCTATTTATTTTAATCTAAGATCAAGTTTTCCCATTTAGAGCATATGATATGTGATTTAATCATGCAAGTATAATACTGAAGTAGAAACTTAACACTGCAAGTTATGAGATTATCTATTAGCGATTTATATATATATATATATATATATATATATATATATATATATATATATATATATATGGAAAAGTTCAATAGAGAACCATTATTAATCAAGGAACCAATCCAAAGCGTCGGAATTTAAAGCGATCAACGGCAAAAGGAAGGGTTGTAAATTTTTATAATGGACGCACATGTACCGGATTATAACAAAACTCACTTCCTTTTTTTCATTTAAAATTTTTTTTAGGCCAAGTTGTTTATCAAAAAAAAAAAAAACCGAATATACCGTTGTTCACGATTTTTCGTCCTGTTTCCATAGAGATCCATGATGATATATAAAAAACGAACTTTTTTTTTCGAAAAAAACTCACTTAATTTTTTTAGTTTTTTCAAAAAAAAAAACTAATTATACCAAAAATATTAATTTTTTGTACTCTATTAATAAACATCAACACCGACTAAAAAAACAAAAAAAAAAAAAAAACCTCGAACAGTACAGATTCACACTGTGAATCTAAACTGTAAATATTTCAATTTTTAACATTCACAATATGAAAAATCTCGAACAGTTCAGATTCACATTGTGAATCTGAATTATTATTATACACACTATGAATCTGAGAAGGTTAAAAAAAAAAAACCTCAATCAGTGTAAATTCACACTGTGAATCTAAACTGTAAATATTTCAAATTTTAACATTCACAATGTGAAAAAGCTCCGATCAGTTCAGATTCACACTGTGAATCTGACTTTTTATTATGCACACTGTCAATCTAAGGAGGTTCATAATGTGAATCTGAATAGGTTTACAATATGAATCTGAACAGGTTCACAATGTGAATCTAAACTGAAATAAAGTTTTTTTTTTTAACTTGAATATGAATCTATGTTTAAAAAGTACAAAAAATATGAATTTTGATATATTTATTCATTTTTTTTCTATAAAAAAATAGACCTTAAATTTTTTCATCAAAGAAAATGAAGTGGGTTTTTTTCGAAAAAAAAATTCGTTTTTTATATATCATCATGGATCTCTATGGAAAGAGAACGAAAAATCGTGAATAACGGTATATTCGGGTTTTTTTCTTGATAAAAAACATGGTTTAAAAAAAAATTTAAACGAAAAAAAGTGGTGGGGTTTTTGTAAAGGATGGATTTTTTGGTATAATCCGGTGTGTGTGCGTCCAATGTAAAAGTGTACATCTATTTCCTTGGCCGTTGATCGTTATGATTCCAACGCTCACGATTGGTTCCTTGGTTCCTTGGTTAATTGTGGTTCTCTATTGAACCTCACCCTATATATATATATATATATATATATATATATATATATATATATATATATATATATATATATATATATATATATATATATATATATATATAGGGGTGAGATCGGTTGAGAGGTCATATTTTCCCGAGAACTCGAAAACTAAAAGTGAAGCGTTGGATCAAAAGTAATTCATTAAGGACATGATCGTCATCTTACCAATCTCATTTAATGTTTAATTTTTTTGTGTTATTTAATATATTAATATAAATGTCTAAAAATTTACATCATAAATCAAATTTTCAGATTTTTTTAAATATAGTATTTTTCGCTTTTTTTTAAATGCAGATTTTTTAATTTTTTTATAGAAAACATGTATTTATGAAAAAAAATTGAAAAAAATATTTTTTTAAAAAAATTTGTAATTTTTTCAAAAAACTGCATTTTTTTCCCCAAAAAAACTGCATTTTTTTCCCCAAAAAAACTGCATTTTTTTCCCAAAAGAACTGCAATTTTTCTAAAGAAAACTGCATTTAAAAAAAAAACTTCAATTTTTCTTAAAAAAAACTGCATTTTTAAATAAAAAAACTGCAATTTTTTTAAAAAAAAACTGCATTTTTAAATAAAAAAACTGCAATTTTTTCAAAAAAACTACAAAATTTTTAAAGAAAGTTACATTTTTTTTTCAAAAAAAACTGCAATTTTTCAAAAAAAAAACCTCATTTTTTTAAAAAAAATATATTTTTAGGTGAATATATGCATATTTTTTCAAATGCATATATGTATATTTCTCATATTATAATATTCGTAAGTAATCACAAAAAATCTCATTTTCATTAATTAATCTATAAACATAATAGTACAAGTATTTTATTCGATACAAAATAAAATATAAAAAATAAAAAAATGCTACAAATTTCAAAGCATTTTCATGTCTTCGTGTCAATATTTCCTTATTTTCTTCAATTTATCATTTTTCACCTCTTCAATATTCACCACAATTTCTTCCAAATCTACAAGAAAATTAAAAAAAAATGATTGATGCAAAAACACTCACAAAAATACATATGTGATTTTCATGTGATTAACATATGAATCACATGCGATTCACATATGAATCACATGCGATTCACATGTGATTTACATGTGAATCACATATGATTTACATGTGAATTGCATGTGATTTACATGTGAATCATATGTGATTTATGTGTGAATCACATATGATTCATATGTGAATGATTCATATGTGAATTACATGTGATTTACATGTGAATCACGTGTAAATGTGATTTACATGTGAGTCATATGTGACCAACTTGTGATTTACATGTGAATTACAGGTTATTCATATGTGAATTACATGTGATTTACATGTGAATCACATGTAATTGTGATTTACATGTGAATCACATGTGATTCATATGTGATTTACATGTGAATCACGTGTAATTGTGATTTACGTGTGAATCACATGTGAATTACATATGATTTACATGTGAATCACATGTAAATCATATGTAATTTATGTTATTCAGGTTTATCGGGTGTTTCATTTCATTTACCAACAAAAGGAATGAATTAATCCAGACAAATGAAGAGAGAGATATAACCGTCCAACAGCTAAAACATGATGAGCAGATCGCAGCCTCCAAATAACCAACAAAATAACACTACAAACATAATATGTGATTCACCTGTGATTCACATGTGATTTACATGTGAGTCACATGTAATTAATATGTGATTCACCTGTGATTTACATGTGAATTATATGTGATTTACATGTGAATTATATGTGATTTACATGTGAATTATATATAATTCATATCTATCTTCTTCTAATTGCCATGATAATATTGTAACACCTTTTCTAGAGCTGACATCAACTAATTCTGATGAGTCATGCAATGAGAACTTATACACAAAGCAATAGCAATTGTACATTTCATGGAACATAAAGTTTCAAGCAATTTAATTGAAAGTTATTTATTTAAATTATGAGATTTTACATGAGGGTGTTTCGTTAGGAAATGTGCAAGTCAAAACCTCCAACAAAGCCGTCATTTTCCGCCGGAATTCACGGCCCGAAAAAATTACTCATCCAATTATTTAATAATCTCCAAAAGGTCCTGTTAGAAAAGAAGATAAAATAAACATAAACAAAAATCATCTTGCATCAGCCAATCAAATCAATGAGAATTAAGCTATTTCACGATTAATAGATCCACCAATGTCTCATGTCAATTTTCACTCAAAACTTCCAAAAAATCACAAATTCTGTTACATGGATGAAATATATGATTTTTTATATACTTTCAAATTGCACGACAATAATAAAATACCAAATGGTTCATAATCTCTTTCAGAAATGTACTTCTGTAATGAAAAAAAATAAGATTAATGGATCATGGAATATTTTTCTATAACAAAATAGCACAAAAAGGTTATAGTTCTTTACCAACATAATGTTTCCGAATTTTTATGTAACCAAAGATTCAACTTTTTATTTTCCAATACAACACCAACTTAGAAAAAAATATATATATATAAAAAGAGCGCCAAGACCAATTACAACTGCCCTAAACTGGAAAAGTATGTATTTTTTATTCCAATTCCAAATTGAAAAAAAAAATAAAAAAAAATAAAAAAAAAATGAAAAAGTTCTTACTGTTGTTCCAGATGATGTCATGAGCATAAATCCAGATATTGTTCCAGAATGACAAGAACTTGCTAAATATCCATTATCAACATTTTAATAATTGCTTGAATCTATTACATCAAAAAAACCAAAGCAATATCAGATTTTGTTGGAAACATAGTAGTTGAGTTTCTCCATTGGTGTCAATACCTCAATATGCTGCAATCATAACCATTTCAAACATTTACAGGATATCTCTTTTTTACTAAGTTTCAATGATTTAGGATCCTTTTCTTTTAACTCAATCAATCCAGACAGCTATTATGACTTTCTTTTTACTTAATCTTAATCTGGACACAATGTATTAATAAGTTAAGTAAAAGAACCAGGATTAATGTATCAAGACACTAACCTTTAACATTTTTGATGAATATCATGAAGATTTATCCAGTCATACAACACTATAAAAAAAACAATAACTCAAATTTCAGCCACTTTAGGTAGAATGATATAGTTAGTACCTGTGTGATGACTTTATTGGCAGCGAGTTCATCGGCATTTCCGATGTTGACTTGGACAAAATCCTAAATTGGAATTGGTTTATCATTCATGAAGTCAAAGTGAAGTTAACATGTGATATTTCTCATTGAGGCATTTCATCGAACATGTTGAGTGCAAACAAATATTTATATTTTTCAATAACACATGTGCCTATTTTTATACCTACAATCAACATAAGGATTTAACTCTTTATAAAAACATATTGACTAAACATGTTCAACTTAACGATTAGGAAAAAAAAATTCATAAAGGTCAAACAAAGGTCAGGAGTCAACAATAGAAACAGATGATACCTATATTTTGATCAACAAGGGATCATCTTCTTCGTTCAGGTCTTCAATCCACAGTGGAGGCCGAGAAGAAGTAGGC